TGTCAGTTCCTATTTCAATTTTTCTATTGAAGATAGAAGTAGGTATAGATCAGATTGATCCAGGTAAGTCAAAAGAGTGTTGTTTTGAAGAAAGATCAATTTAATAAATTAAAGTGGTTTAAAATTTTCAATTGTTGATAGTTGATACAATGTCTGTTGTTTGTCAAAACATTGCGATCGTTCTATAATAAAATTTTGTCATCATTAAATAATTAATAATTTTCTAAAGGTTACTCGTAATTTCTAGTTATTGCAATAATAAAATAAATGAATACATAAATAACAATAAATTGAAGATATATGTGTACCGTTTTAGATTTTTAAATATTTGTTATTGTTAACTTTTTTAAAGGATAATAAACAAAGTATTGCATGAAATGAAACATCAATTTGTATTTTGAATTTTCTGTCTTAGCTTGGGCTTAGCTTAATCTCACCGTTAAAATGTCTATAAATCGAAATCATAGTTTAACCTTAGTGTACACTAACAAAGTTTTTCTAAGGTAAGTCTGAGCAAAGTCCAATGCATATAGATCTCACCCTTAGTATTAAATATTATTGAAACAAAATTGTTGTACTTAAATTGTATATCCGTTTAGGTTTTTTGTTTATAAAGTAGGTTCAATGAGTTGAGTTCACTGACGAAACGAATGTTATAAGCGAGCGGTAATAGTATTTAATAGTTACTCAATATTTTATACAAATTAAATTATTTTGCTTTTGTTCTCAGAAATAATTATCATATTTTATCTAAAGGTCAATGTAATGAGGGTATAGTTCCAAAGGATTTAAATAGTAAGCCATGCCTAACTAGTTGAAATACTTGGAATAATAAATCTAACTAGACCGGACGCCACCCCAGTGTAATCCTTTAATCAGGTCCACAGTCCTGCACCCTATTTTTCCCTCCCATGTAACATACCCCCTTTCCCCCACCCCCCTCGAACCCTCGAACGGTGCAAATGACAGTTTCTAATTCCAACTTGCCATGAAAGTGTGTAATTGTTGCGCCGTTGATTTATACACGTTAACTGTGTGTGTGTGTAGGTTTTACAAACGTTTGTGTCAATTTGATATTGATGATGCGTCGAGTTGCTTTTTGAAGTAATTATTGTTTAAAATTTTATTATAGGTATGTCAAGGTATCAGGGTAAATTAAATACAACAAAAGCTCAAGGGAATTGTGTTAGATTTAATTTAATTTTAATTTGTTTATAACTATACTAACTTTACATAATAAGAAACAGTCTCGGAAACTTTGAGGTTATTTTAGCCCTAGAACAATAAGTATTTTATTATAATAATAGTATTTTTATTTAATATTATAAATCTCCAAACGCTTATTCCTCAACAAAACACCTTATTGTTTCGAATACTAACATAGCATAGACCTGATATTAATTAACTGAAGGTGTAGGCATGATCGTTATCTGTAATAAACACGTGTAATACAAATTCCTACAGCTAGATTGAGTTATATTATGAAGGGCGGACAATATGGGCTTGTAGCTTGAATAATTGGTACGACTGAACACGTCAGTGTCACACCTGTGCGGCCCCTCTCGGAGATGACTGGAATTGAATTAATTTTCTAAAATGAATGGTTTCATTTGGTTTTTCTTAATGTGACTTTAACACTATTATACACCTGTACTGAGAAGGCTAAGATATTTGGGGCGGAAAATATTGTCGTTTTCTGATGTTATAGAGATAACCATTGCAACCAATTTTGCCGATGACTTTGGTTGGAGACTGTGAACTGGATGGTTTGTGTATAACTTTGTGGTCAAAAATCAAAACCAAAAATTATTTTAGGCGATTTCAACGATATTGTTAGATTGTTAAAATAATCTAGGACATGACAACTGTAGAGGCGAGGGTAGCACAAACTTCACAGCCTCTTCTTTGAAAATTGGTAAATCCGCCACTGTCTAGCCCAGGTCGTCGAATTTGAAGCTTTTGAAAAGAAGATGACACTTTTTTCGCCCACCAAATTACGACAAACAAATTGACGTAAATACAAAAACATCAAAACGGTCCCTAAAACCAATGACCAGAGAATGCAACACATAATTAAGCGTCTAAACTTCGTCGTCCGTTCCAAAGTCGGCATTGGAATTATATCTATTACTATATCTGCAATTAACGTTTGTAAGATAGTCAACACTGTGAGGAAACCGGAATGCCTAACCCAAAAATCTACCATATCAGACACAGTCATATGCCAATAAAACATCTGAATCCATGAGCCATAAAGGATTATAGTTATTGTGTAGCAGCAAAAAATATTCATACAGTACAGTGAATTAATTGGCAATCCGCACTTGGCGCCTCGATAAAGCGCATCCGAATTGCGTTGCCATCCAATCGGGCACTAATCAAGAGACTATCATCGGCTTCACACAAAAGACGCACGCACTGTAATCTATGAATCAAATTTCATACATAAATCATCCATACAATGTTTTTGTTCTAATTATAATTTGACGACTCATTGGTCTAGTGGTTAGAACCCCTGACTGCGAATCCATGGTCCCGGGTTCGATCCCCGGCTGAGATGAACATCGATGTGATGAGTATTTGGTGTTGTGCTTAGGTCTTGGGTGTTTAAATATGTATTTATATGTCTATCTATCTATGTATGTATATCCGTTGCCTAGTACCCATAACACAAGCTTCACCAGCTTAGCATGGGACTCGGTCAATTGGTGTGAATTGTCTATAAAAAAAAATGCCGTGGAAAGCATTATATATAACTAGTGGACCCCACAGACGTTGTCCTGCATGATATTTAAAGCGATTAGGATATAAAAGTATGAAAGTACCGACTCAGTGCCATCTCCGGGCTGATTTGTGAATCTAAACCATTCCCAGATCCCCTTGAACACAACAAAAAAATTTCATCAAAATCGGTCAGTCGTTTGAGAGAAGTTCAGTGACTACACACTCACAGAAGAATTATATATTTATGCATCACAATTGTCCTCTTGATATTTAAAGCGATTAGGATATAAAAGTATGAAAGTACCGACTACAGCGCCATCTATCGAGCTGATTTGTGAATCTAAACCATTCCCAGATCCCCTTGAACACACACAAAAAAATTTCATCAAAATCGGTCCAGTCGTTTGAGAGAAGTTCAGTGACATACACACTCACAGAAGAATTATATATTTGTAACTAACCCATTTTTACAAAACCTATATAAACTCCCTTGATATTTTATTTCGAGACTTCGTGGAATGGACTTGTTATAATAACCTCAGTAGATTTTAAAAGTCTAAGTACCTAACTTCTAATTTTTTGTTTCCTAATATAGAATTGGGATTTGAATTTTCTCACTTCTCTTGTTTTGTTTTGAGTAATCTTTGTGGTTTAAATTTTCCTTCTCTTTGTGTCCGTAATGTACGAAGTACGAGTGATTAACATTTAAAAAGTGCTCTTTGTGTAAAAGTGTTGTTTGTGTTTGTCATGAGAGTGCAACAGTGTCGCATTAAATTCGGGATCGTCTAGTCGGCAAGGTAGACGAGAGATGCTTTGAAATTGAAGAACAGTCAAATCAATCAGGACACTTCTTAATTGGGTGTAGACCCCCTTTAAATTCCAGAAGGATGATCTGGTCTTTGTTATTAAAAATGCAAAGGTATGGGTTTCTGTTTTAAATTTTTGTGTGCTAATGTGTTTAGACCACTTTAGAACATACAAGTGTATGGGTCTCTGTTTTAAGTTATTTGGTGCTAATGTGTTTAGACCACTTAGAGAACATGCAAAATGTATGAGTTCTGTTTTAAAAAATTGTCGCTTATGAGAGCACTAGGAGCCACTTATAGACGGTGTATTGCAAATACTGAGTTGTCTTTATTTATGTTAAGTCTGAAGCTATCTAATTCTGTAATATTTGCTTTTTAAAGTAATGGAAGGGTACCATCCCAAATCCATTTCCTTTAATTTAAAAGATCAATACAGTACCATCCCAAACTCACGATCTTCCTTTAAATTGTAAAAGATAATACAGGGTAACCACCCCAACTACATCTTCCTTATAAATTGTAAAAAGATAATGGACAGGGTAACCACCCCAAACTAGATCTTCCTTATAAATGGTAACAAGATCAATGGACAGGTAACCACCCCAAACTCACGATCTTCCTGTTAAATGGTAACAAGATCAATGGACAGGTAACCACCCAAACTTAAGATCTTCCTTTTATGGTAAAAGATAATACATAACTAGCCCCAAACTCATATCTTCCTTATGAATGGTAAAAGATCAATACAGGTAACCAGCCTCAAATAGATCTTCCTTTATGAATGGTAAAAGATCAATGACAGGTAACTAGCCCCAAACTACATCTTCTTAGAAATAATAGACCTTTATACTTATATCTATCTTATGTGATACTAAACTTGTGATTGTTTACACAAGTCCTTTACACATGAAAGTGCTAGTTTGTTTCAAATCTTGTAAGGGTTATGAATAATCTTTCACTATTCTTGAGTCTGATACTTTAAAGTTCCTTTCTATCTTTCATTACTTTGATTGTTTGTATTAAACCAAGTAAATATGTTCAGCTGCTGACCAATAGACGACGCAATACCTTCCCAGAACTGTAATGTTCTAACGTTCTATTCTACCCACAGAGATGACAGTATAGACGCTGGAACATCAAATCCTGACGAGGACGTCAGGGTGTCAGGAGAGGCCGTGTTAGCGGACTAACGCCATTTTGTAGCAGAAACCTATATAAAGCGTGGCAACACCGGGTTGACTCACTTTTATTTCGAGACTTCGTGGGAATGGACTTGTTACTAACCTAACCTCAGTAGATTTTAAAAGTCTGAAGTACCTACACGTTCTAATCTTTTGTGTTTCCTAATATATATTATATAATAAGTATTATATTTTATTTTTTAATTTTTATTCTAATATACGTGTTTAGAACATTTATTACGAAAAAATTACTATACTTTAATATTATAAATAATATGAATGTAAAACAATGAATAGATATACCTTAGAGCAGCATAATCGTACTGATATAGTGTTGTCTCTCCTAGGGCAGCAGCAGCAGTTCCACTTCGCGTTTGGTCAGCGGCCGTTTCCGTTTCCACCTGATCCTCTAGGCGGATTTCGTATGCCTCCCATCACGACATGTCAAAGTAAGTATGTATGGAAAGTTATGGAGAAAACATATCGACATTCGAAAAAAGATTTGCCGGGAGTAAAACCCAGCAGATCTAGTTTAAACGCAATAAGTAAATAAGTATGACGCCTGGGCAATAGAATCATCTACATAACTCAACAAAAATTTAGGCTGCGCGATATTATTATGTACCTGGAGACTTAAATTTCTGTTTCATAAAGACTTATATTAGGAAACTCCTATTATAATGTATTGTAAAAATATATATGACTTCAAACGCGATGTTTCACAAGCTTTCTCTCTAAGCTCAATAGCTCAATAGCCCACTTTATAGTTTTAAAATGTCAATGATTTCACCAGGCCACGCAAACTAGTTCGCAAAAGCGTGGATTGAATCAGGCCAAAAAATCGAATTGAAAACGGACGCAATCGAACAAGCATGCTTCGTGCCCGCTAAAATCCACGTTTGGTCCAAAACAACTCGTGTGCCACAAAAAAAGTCACAAATCGGCGCGCATCGTATAAAAACCGACTCGGCTGATCGCCGGCCAAAAAACGGAACCGTGATACCGAAAAATAAAAGCCCATAATGCTCTGGAAAAAATAAAGTGAACGGATCGTGTGGGATGCGTGTCCACTCTCGATATCTGGATAAGTGGCTCTCGTATCACGAATGTTTGCGAATTCCACGTTTCGAGTATTATATTAGCTGTGTTAAATAGTTTTGTGGGAATGTAGTTTACACAATGACTATTAATTAAAGAGTGAACGTATCAAATGATTATGCTTTTGCATACAACTTATATATGTTAGTATATTTATGTACATCGTAATCATTAACTTTAAATAGGTAAATGTGTCTTTGTCTGAGGCATATTTTGCAATTTATTATTATCAAAACAAGACTTTCGATATACATATTTTCTAATTTACAATTTTAGTTTGGCCGGCGTTTGGCGTATAAATAGTAAGGGCTGACTTTAAAAAAATCCTAATGCTCATTTCTTCAAAATTAAGATTAAATATAAGAAAATATTACATAGATTGAGTGGACAGAACACTTGTTAGGAAAAGTGTTGTCAGAAAACTTGTGAAGCACTGTATTTCAATATTTTGACAAAAAGTTATTTTGCAGATATGAGTCAGTTTGGATTAAGTTCAAGCAATACCCACTGGGGCTATGGCGGTGCAGGTGCGTACCCTGCGTACTTACCATCATGTGCAGCGCCTACTGCCACCCAATTTAACCCACCAGCTCTTGGCTTCGCCGGGACTGTTCCAGAACAGGCATCCACACAGGACTTCACAAATAATACAGGTATGCGTATACCGTATAATTTAATTTAAAAAAATATGTCGTGAAAGGTAGAATACCCTTTCCATTTTCTTCAATTGGATTTTTAATTTTTGAAGGTCGTATAAGTTGTTACATAGTTGTCACCGAATAATTTCTTCTACACTCCCCTGTCATCGGCAAACCTCGGCGCAAGGGTACTTGATCGGTCGGTTGAGTAGGGGATCGGGTTCAAGGTCTAGCGCCTTCTGACAGTCAGAATAAGTTTTACTTAGATCTCAAAATATGTATCGATCATTTTATAATCGAATCCTGTCCTCACTGCTGACATAGTCGCAAACTCGATACAATGCCATTAACCCGACTCTTGTCAATGCTGCTAATGCTCATTGCGACTGCTGTAAAGTCGAAATCGATGACTTTATTCGTTTAAAAATATTACGTTGAAAAAGTTTTTTTAAACTGTAGAATTTTTACCGAAACGTATTGAAAAGTTTACTGCGGAAGTAATGATCATGGATAGGCTATAACTTGAGACCAATATGGTGAAATTAAATACAAATTTATGACTAACATCCTCTTTGTCAAGGAGCAATGTGCTGGTCGTTTATTACCATAAATATTCTCTTAACAGACAGAAATTATAAACTTATTATAGTTGATTTTCTTGCGATGTTGATGTGTAATTGTTTTGCGGGCGATACAATCCATCTTCTAAGATTAAAGAACATTTTAAATTTATATTTTTTTAGAATAATATGGTATTAATTTATTTTGAATGGCAACACTAATAGCCTACTCTGACCATATAATTAATAAAAGTGTTTTAAAATTTGTATAATTATAAAAAAAAGGACATAAAGTGTGTTCAACCTTAAACGATATACAAATATGTAACGCCATTTGTAATATTGTCCGTTTGACATCAACCCTAAACGTCAGTCGGCCATTTTACGAGCGCTCATTATAATTTACAGTCGCGACGCGTCCAATTCACTATTAATTTATCACCGATGTGTGAATTTTTTTAATAAATTTAAATTAAAACAATGTATAATCCGCCAACGTTAAACTACACCGCGTTCTATAATGCAATTGAGATTTCAGTTTGAGAGTTCAGATTTAAGTAGCGGTGTAATTAGACGTAATTTCCACTACTAGTACGAATTCCTTGAGTGTAAGTTTTGTTTTTTTTACAGTTTTGCCAGATACGACGGGAGTTGACCTGGACCAGCAGCTATCTGGTCTAGTAAGTTCGTCTCCCTCGCACCACGGCAGCCTTCTACCTCGTTACAATAACAACACAGACTACGGTCTTTCTACGGGGCCACGGTCATTAAGCGACAATAGTTCTCAACCCGAATCACCGATACAAGACGACCTGCTAACTTCGAACACGACAAACATAGGGCATAACACGAATAGTTCCAACTTTTCCCTAATGGGCTCTCAAAACTCCACCTACGGAAGTAGTAACTGTAACAATTCGCTCTACCCTGTCCTCCCGGCTAGCCTCCTATACAGCCAGTTGTATACCGCCGCGAATCAAACGCACAATTTTCACCCATTACACTCGAACACAATACATTCAACTCAGAGCCACAATGAATTGCAGACTATGATGGATCAGATATCGTCGACGACGAATAATCATAGACATAATGGGCAAGGCGATTTATTGTTGGGCGGAGGCAACTCTTGTGCTGCGGCTGCGGCGAGGGGTGAAGATGGGAGAGTCAACAATCTTGGACAAAGGGGCAATCCTCAACCGGATAGTAATACTGTTTGGAGACCCTATTAAGTCATCTTTGAAGGAGCCGTAACGTCTTGTAGCAAGGTACTAAAAACTTTAATAGTGATGAGGTATTCACTAATATTTGGTGAGGTTTCATTACTTGCACTAAAATTGTTACCGAAAAGTAGATTTTGAAAATTAATCGATTAAAATTCAGTTGCTATACGACGTTGAAGGCCCCGAATTTAGATAATTTCAAACCTAAGGTGTAAATAAAAATGTCAACGAAATAGGTAAATGTATTTGAAAATCGTCGCTCCCGTCCTATATTATACGATTGAATCCGAAAAACTATCAATAATTTCTATGGAATGTTTCGTAGCGATTATCAATATTCGAAAATATTAATGTAAATATTGTGAATAATTTGTTGTAAATGCGACTTGTAAAGTGCAATAGTTGTGCAGTTAAAGTTGAGTAGGTGTATAAAGTAATAAGACATATGTTGATTAGATGTCAAGTCTGTCCAATGTAGACTCATAGATACCTCGAAGTAGGTACAGCTGTGTCCCCTTGAGCTTGACTCTTTTATTTGCTTTTATAATTAAAACCACAAAGGTATGTGCAATTTTTGTCTTATTTATTTAGTTTTTCTTTAATTATTACATATCCTAATCACATTCATTATTTTTATAATGATTGTAATTTTCGAGCTTTAATTTTGAATTTGTCATCTCTGTTACTAAAGAAAATGAATATTGGTGATGTATATCTAGTACTGAATAAAAATAGTGGTCGTATGTAAAAACGTGATTTAAGCTCAAAACTCTTTCAAACTGTTTGCTGTACCTAGATTGTGAGATAAGCGTTTTTAAATACAGCCTTGCGATTCTGTAACTCACTCTTCGAACTCACAAAGCGGTTTTCGCAAAGTGAGTTCGAAAAGTGAGTTACAGAATGGCAGGGCAGGCTCTGTATGTGACATTTTCGCATCTTTAATTTCAATCATTATAGAATATTAAAATTAATTAAACATTAAAAATGGTTGTGAAACCTGAGGAAAAGCGTTTTTGGCGTTGAATGTTTGTGCAATACATTATTAATTCATAGTTTTATGTCTGTTTGGATATTTGTTGCTTAGCAAAAATAATTTAAGGTCGCTTCTTTGATTGTTACTTTAGACAGCAGATAGCTAGGTTTATACCTATAATAAATCTCAAATAACATGACTGTGTTTTAATTAAATACATAACATAATGTATCAAATGTGTAAGCTCCGCCCCCCGGGTTCGGTAACCCCCCTTCCCAACCCCCCCCGGGGTTTCCCCCCCGGGGGCCCCCCCCCCCCATCGTAGCGTCATTTTTGATTTGGCATTCTGATAAACAATAAACCTACAAGCTCCTACCTTTCCCCCCCCCCCTCAGAATGCCAAATCATAAAATGACTGCTTCACGACTGATTGAGGGACGCGATGCGAAACCCCCTGTGTGTGTTAAAAGGTCGTCATCGTGCATTCATATCCCCACTGTGCACCGGTGATTTTAGTCATACGAGCGGAATTTGAAAAATACCTACCTAAATGACCATATAGTGGTAATGACTTACATTTCTATATTGTATAAGTCGGCTAAAGTTGGTTTTATTTACAAGAGTCAATAAGTAATTTAAGTAATGGGACCAACACACCAACTAGCAAAAAATGTAGAAGAAAATCTTTTTGTACCTAAGACCGCCTTCATATTTTCCCACATGTGTCCTACACGTAGTGGTGTATGGGAGGTGAGTGGGAATGGTAGGGGAACGCGGTTGAACGAAGTTCCCTTATCTTTTAAAGAAACACGCTTTTTACCGGATTAAAGTTATATAACTTTAATCCGGTAAAAAGCGTTTTTCTTTAAATGTGTAAAGGTTATGTTAATCAAAGACAATACTATTCCCTTATCTTTTTAAAACCGGAACGCGTTCCAGTACTTTTTAACATTTACTTTTAGTAAAAAATGCTTCTTCAGGATGCGAGCGTGAATTTAATTGTAACGGTAAGAAGATCACGCATTTTAATTGATCATGTTGCAAATTTATTGTTTAATAAACTTCATGGACCATCCTTGGAATTTTAAAATCCAATTTTCTACGTAAAAATCTGGTTGCGTTCTCATCGATCCGCTATTGACCAACAAACTAAAAGAGCAGGGGCAAATGACAAAAATGTATGTGATCCTAATTGGGAGTATTTGTATTACACCATAAGTGTACTACACAATAATAATATCTTTCTGATTTTCATCTTTTTTGTGCTCGTTAATATTTTGTATAGTAAGACGAAGAAAAAATATAACCTGACATGGAAAAAAATTGGTTGCTGAAAATAGGACGTTTTTTTGCTCCCACTATGCGTTCCCTTACACAATTTTCACATTGGGTAAGTATAGGTTTTCATAACATCGAAAATAGCAACAAAATTGTATTTAGCTGTTAAACAAGGGTAACAACCACACCATTACGCTCCATCAACCGTATGCTCCTTCAAAATATCATGTTAATTATGAATATTGATATGCATTGTGCTTCGATAAATAGCCGCGCCCATGTATACCGCAGCTTGGATACATATCGGATAATGAGCTCATTACTGCATCGCGCCCATCGAGCGGAACATTTGCATATCACCTGTCCTCTATATTATATAATAACCAATATCGCAAAAACTCCGGGCTTTTTTGGAATAACATGGGCCTTACTATTATATCCAAATAATATTACTATAATTTTGTTACAGTTATAAATAATTCCTATTCCTTACATATTATAAAATGACTTGAAAACAACTGAACATATTTACAATACCTATATTACAATTGTTGTTATATCTTAATACGTTAACTATATCAATACATACATTGTTAATATAAAAGATACTCTAATTCCTAAGGAAGGTTTAGGTATTTTTTAATTCGTTGTCGCAGCGATACAAAGTGAGGCTCTGAAACTAGAGAAGACCACAACCACCTTTGCTTTTTACCAAAAAATCATTTATTGGTAAAAACCTTTATTGCACTGCCCTAATTTTTGTTAAGAAGAGAATCCAGTTCCAGAAATAGAAGTAGGAAACAAAGCATATAATTATTATAGACTTCCGGTGGAGATCTTCTCTGGGAGATACAACCTCCAATTGTTTAAAAGAGAGCATCCTCCTTCTTCAAAGGCCGGCAACGCACCCACTAAAAATGTGAATGAGCTGTGAAGATTGCCCTTTTTGGAATGCCCATAGGCTTAGGGCTAGGGCTATCCGATAAAAAACTCAATAATTAGGTATCTCATAATTAAACACAAAAATTCTGTTGTTGTTTGTTTGTTCTTGTTGTTGTAATGTTTACATTTATTAATACGTGTAATTATTTTTTTTAATTTATGGGTTAAACAATTATTACTTTTAGAATTTCAGGTGGAATTGATATTTTGTTGGACAGTGGCATTCAAAATCCTGAAATAAATTTCCAACACTCATTAATTTGCGCCAATTCGATACGATGGATATGCAGTGTTACCATGTTATTGAGCTAATTTTGGACTGCGTAGGCTGAATTTAAAATTGCTTTTTACGTTATATTTTGGGAATTCAAAAGTCATTATAGAATTTTACGCTCGGCACATATTTAAATCAGTTTGAATATTAAAAAAAGAAATTAATAGTTCGTGTCATGTTTTTTTTTTTTAACTATTTATTAGTAATCACGTTTTATAACTAGATGATATATACGATAAAGGTTACACCATACACACATTTACTATTTTATAGATTAAGTACTACTTAATTTGCTGAGGTGTGTGTAGTAATGCAATGTGTGGGGGTGTGTTAGTGTGTGCGTCTTAATGCAAATATAAGACCTTAAATAATAGTCGCCTTTTGTTTAAGTTATCTTTATATATAAAACTTCTGTGCGTATTTTTGTAATTAAATTCCTCCTAAACGGCTCGACGGATTTTTAAGATGATTTGTGTGTTCAAGTGAATTCGAGAATGACTAACAATTAGATAACTTTTGTTTATAAAGGAGTGTATAGGACGTCTGTCGGGTCCGCTAGTAACTCATAAGAGCTTAGTTATCTATCACCTAAATAAGTTGTTAAATCTTTATTTTTAAAATCATTTTATTACACCAGATTTATAAAGAATTTATCAAATTACTATACGTAAGTAGATTGTATTGTAAATAAACTATCATGATAACTCAATAAAATGGTTACCCGAGTGTGTCACCTGAGCAATTCCACTATAATCCCTATAATATAGGCACAACCAACAGTAAGGGAAAAATCGATCGCAGACCGATTTGCTCCGCTGTAATGAGATTTCACATTGCCAAGTAATTAATGAGAATTAGTGGATATGATGAATCCCCGGAAGGGGATTGTGCATTGAACTACAATTACAAATTTGACAGATTTCAAACAAGCGTCGTAGAATGTATCGACAACAAAGATTTGTATATATCCCAGGCTTTCGAAGAAACTTTTTTCTTGTTATGAACAAGGCATCACAGAGTCGATGTTTTAACAATTTGGAAAAATATTTAAAAACATTTTATGCTTTTTAATTGTTATTATCAATAGTCTTAGTCATTACGTACTACGCCTAGTGCAATACCACTTATTTCACTAAAAAAAGTTTAAGTAGATTATACACGGATAAATAGACACAGAAAATCATTACACATAGACAAGGCAATAATACAATTGGATACAGATTTTATGTGTTCTTTGGAAAAGGGAGCAGAGATAGTAGTAGTTGAGATCTAAGCCTTTTAAGGTCTTGGACTCAGATTTCTCGGTATCGTAATAATCTTAATAGTCTAACTCACGTAGGTCTAATGCCAGTTTCCCCACAATGTTTTTCTTGACCGTACGAGCGACTATTAAATGCACTCATAGAAAAGCTCATTGCTGCACAGCTGGGGATTGAAGCTACGACCTCAGAGATGCGAATCGCTGAAGCCAACAGTGGTCTTCTATCGTCTAAACCTAGCTAATTAGTTATAATAAGGGATACAAGTAGCAAGTATTGAAAA